ACCACAACCACGTCAATAATAAGAACTACAACAACCACAACCACGTCAATAATAAGAACTACAACAACACCAATAAACTTGTATCCCTTTAGTATTCTCTTATCCCCATGAAAGAGAAAGTAAGGGCCTAGGACACATTGTTTCTGTGCTAAGCATAATTATAATCTTTGATGCAATAATCTTTTTTTTTTCTTTTCTTTTTTTATCTGCATTATATACGGGTGTGGGGTGGGGTATTAAAATAGTGTTACACTGAAATTTAAAAAAATTTTAAACATTTATTGAAGTACTTTCTTTTTGAGTTCTTATACTAAAATTAAAATATTATCTAATTAATTTGTTTTAAAACATAAATAATTTGAACTTGTTACAATAAATGGTAATATTTTTTCTACAATTTTTTATTGAATCTGTAAGATTACAAAGAAAATATTCAAAACTGATTGGTAGTATTTCCTAGAATACAATTAAATTTGCCCAATAGACTCTCGCCAATGGTGTCCACAATGACGGCATGTGCACTACTTGTCATCAGAAATAAAATGAATACAATTTTTTACTGTGCGATAATTTATTTTCACTTCTTGCATTTACAAAGGGGGGGGGGGTGAAGCATGAGTTACGGAGAAAGAGGGGGGTATTCAAAATACTCCAAATTTGGGTTATGTAATTTATGGACTCCCCTCCTTAAAATGTCACCTACTGTTCCGGCAAAAATTAGCTGATGATAGTGGTGGTCGAGATTGAGAGTTAACTGGAATTCAAATCTAACTGCTAATTACTATGAAGTGAAGTATGTTTTCTTTAACATTTTTAATTTCCATAAATAACAAAATACAATTTAAACAAGATATTTAAGATCATTTGCCGCATCTTTGCTATTATCAAACTATATCCTTGACTTATTCATTCTCTTAGTTGAGAAACTCACTTTCTGTCCTTGCCAAAACAATCAAGGAAACTAGACTGTAGAAACTTTACAGCAAGACCTTCTGATGAAGGAGTTAACAAACGACTTTTGGATCTGATTCGTGCATACAGGGTGCTCTGAGAGTCCCATAGAAAGGAATCATAAGAAGGCTGTGAAATAAAAATGAATATGTTGTTTTACCAGAAATTATCATTTGTTGTTACATGAAACAGAAGGTAATCCACCTGTGAGATAAGGCAGGATATTTGAAATAATCTGACAGTGCTTCTCTTCAAAAGAAGTTATTAAATCAGTAATCATTGCTTTTCCACGAAGTCAGGAAGTAGCGCCATTTAGAGACTTGTACCATGTGTTCATTTCTCACTATCTTGAAAATTAAGAAAAATAAAAATTAATATCATCCTCGTCTGTTTTGCCGACACAAAAGAAAGGAGTTAAAAGAACTCACAGACAAAAGAAATTAGGCAAATTAGTCTAAATTTAGATCTTTAAAAGTAAAATAGACATTCATTTAGTTCAAGGTACCCAGGAAAAAAAAGGTTTTTTCCTAAATATCCACCGTCTAATTATAACAAACACCTAGGAAATGAATGGTAATCATTAAGTGAAGTTAGTATAATAAGTGGTGACTGGCATTGTAACATTAATAGATTCCATGTGTGATGTAATAATCTGTTTACAATAAGAATGAGTGTAATGCTTTGACACAGGTACTTCTGGTAATAAGCTGGAATGATCACTTAGTCCCTAACTCCCCTACATTTTGAAGTAATTTGGTAGTGACATCATTTAGGTACATGATCATTTTAGATAAAGGATTTTGATAACTGAGACACTTCTATTACAGGTTAGGATGCATTTCTCCTAGCTTAAGGAACCCAGCCTCAAAGCCTAGTGTGGTTATGGGGTTTTATTCGATCATGGTGGGGTAATCCTGAGGTCCACTCAGCCTCCTTTGCAAATACACTGGCTTGATTAACAGTTAATTTGGGTAAATATGTAGCTAAAGCAAGGCACTTGCCATGCCATTTTCTCCCTCTTTCTAAAATGGTAGGGCTTATTAAGAATCTGTACAGAAACTTGAACAGATGACTTGTGCAAAGAGCAAAATAAATGCTCTAAATGGCAGATTCAGATGCTTTTATATCTCACCCTCAACCTATACTTGCCATACTTTTTATGTGCAAAGGGATAATCATTAAAAATAAATACTTTTTGCTTAAATATATATGCCTGAAAAATGCTTGAGATGAATTTAGAAGTTACAATGAAGGGCAAAAGACAATGAAGAAATTCATTGCCTCTGTAACTCTCTCTGTTGCCTCTCTTTGATTTCTGTAAGTTATTTGTAGTTTAAAATTAAAAGGAGCAATGCTACAACATAGCCCAGATGCCATAGCTTGCTTGTACAAAACGTTTAAAGAAAATATTTAGGGCATTTATTCAGAAAAACTAGGCAATGGATTTTGGGGAAATTGCAATTGCCATTGCCAAGAAAAATTGCAGTGTTGCAATTTTAGAAAAATAAAAGATTTTCAGGAATGTGCTCTATTTTCGTATGTATCCTAAACTATATCCAAGGACAAAATGTAATAAAAAAAATTGTTGCCAACTTTTGAGAAACATTTGAAAATGTTCATGAAATGTTTGAAAATGTTCATGAATGTTTGAAATGAGGCTTCATGTGAACTACCCTCAAAAATCAAAATATCCGTTTCAAACTCTCAAAGCTTTTTGCTCGTTCAGATCAATCTGGGAATATCAATTTGGGAGAAAATTAGTGTTGCTAATGTTGACCACAGACAGACAAACAGATGTTTCCTTGTCAAACAATTTTTCGTTATCAAGGACTCACAAATCATGGATTCTATATATGCAATATTTACCTACTTTTTCATTAACAGGGTCTGACAAGTGTTTTTCTGTTGAAAATTCATTTTCTGGCTGACAATTACAGTAATTTACCTTGTTACTTTTGTAAGACCAAGAAAATTAAAAGAAATAATTCAATTTTTACAATTTTTTGAAAATTCAGAGGTTGTATTAAAAATCAGACCTATCCCATATTATGCTTTGCCCTAGTTGAGAAAAAGGAATTATTACAATTTTTGAGAAGATTTTCAAAATATTCTAGGAGCAATAAAGTATCCTCAGATATTAAACAATCTGTTCCAAATTTATAGGTGCTCGAGTTCACCCAGAGTAGTAGGGAATTTCAGGAAAAATCCTATTATTATAGTGCTTTTCTTGTTCACAGACAAATGTTTTTACTAGTGGTGCTACAGAATGGCACAGAATTAGTTGTCTATTTCCTTTGGTCTCGGCTAGCTATTCGTACTTGCCATGTACTCTTGCCAACAGCCATCTATTGGTGCCCAAAGTACATTTTTTTGCAATTTTCTTAATTTTTTGCTCTTTTAATAATAGAGGAAAAATATTATTTTACGAATATTAAAGAACAGTAAAACCTCATCCTAAATGGCAATTCTCTTTGAAGAATTTGAAGCCATTTTTAACAAAATATCGTTTAAGGTCTACTGTAAATTCGAAATTTGAATCTCTTTTCATACAAAACTCTTGAGTTTTCCAAAAAATTCATATGAAGTCATTCACTTTAACTCACAAATACAATAGTGTTTACAAATTGTGGGAAATGTGCATAATCAGCATAAAAGATCTTTCAAAAATATTACAATTGTGTAATTTTTGGACAAACAAAAAATACCCCAAAATTAATTTTGTCATATTAAAGAGTGCAATTAACACTATCTGTTTGAAAAGTTTGTTAAAAAAATATCATGGCGTTTGAGTGTTTCTGAAAATGCGTAATTTTGAGCTAGTTTTCACAGAAAACGGTTGAGTTTTCTAGAAACTTTATATGAGAGGACATGTACTCATAAATATAACAATGTGAACAAATTGCTTCTAATGTAAATATTGATGACGTGATAGACAAGACAAAAAAATTATTTTACTCTATTTTTACAAGAAATTTAATGAAAAAATTTGAGTCATTTTTGAGAAAATTTTGAAAATGTCTGGGTGGCTTCATGGAAAGCCTCCCCCCCCCCCATAATTTTGAAGAAAATGTTTGAAAATTGCTGCACCTCAAGTTGAGCCAGATCGACTGAAGAATATCCATTCATTCCGTGTACATACGAGAAAGTAAAATCTCTTTCAGTATCAGGGAGACTCAAAACACATATCAAGTTTTCTTTTTTGCTGAATTATATAACTTTCTCTTATCTATGTGCATATGAGAATGTAAAATGCTGCTTAGGAGATAAGATGGTCTAAAAACTGAAGATTCTAATCAGTGAAGACACATTCCATTTTTAGAGATCGGTTCTCAGGAAAATTGTTTTATATTGACACCAAATCAAGAATCAAACCTTAAGGATGGGTCAAGCTATTGGAGATGGATGCAGAAACATTAGGTTTCTTAGCTTTGGACTATTTGCAGTGTGGTTCTCTAAATTCTCCTGTAATACTTCTCCTGGTTTCTTTTTCATTTCACCTCCATGAATTTCAGTAAGAAGGGATAACTAAGAAATATTAAAAATTGGATGTTCAATTGGACATTTCAAATTCTTTCAAATATCTTTTTCATTTCTTCCAAATTGCAGATCCTTTGATGGACACTCTGATGGAAGACCCTGTAACGTTACCTTCTGGAAAAGTAATGGATCGCCCTGTGATAATGAGACATCTTCTCAACTCTTCCACTGACCCATTCAGCAGGCAGCCCTTGTCAGAAGATATGCTACAACCAGGTGAGAATTACAATTGCTCCATTTTTAAAATTAAAATTTGTAGGGAATTGATGCTTGTGCAAGTCTACACCAGCATTCTCAGAAGAGTTCAGTTTATTTGAGGACCATTGGGTGGTTTATTTCCAGTAATTTGATCTTGCCATCATTAATATACCTAAATTATTAATAATGACGTTGTCCTCTATCATTGGCGATACTGATATAAAGGAATCCACAGTTATACAGAATGCAAGTACTTCAAATTATTTCACAGCTAATATCCCATTTCATGAGGAGCATTTATATATTTTATTACATAGTTGATCTGATCAGATACCAATGCTTCAGTGATTTCATTTTCCTGTTGCTTTTCAGCTGTGGAATTGCGCGAACGCATATTGGCATGGAAGCGAGAGAAGAAGAAAGGAGCATCTGCGTAAATGGAACATGAGTGCTTACAACATACACATGTGCCTCAAGGTAGGGCAAGTGTATGAAGTCAACAGTGCGAGCAGTTGAACTGAATTGCTGCTTTCTGATCTAAGAAGTATCGTGCAGCTAACATTGGTGTGTTGGTACTGTCCTCACCATTTCAAAAAACTGTTTATCATTTGGTGAACTAAATTTTTTTAAGAAAGAAGAAACTTATGCATGTTTATTTCCAAGATCGTTTTATTGTCATAATGTAGTGGTTCCAATTTCATAAGGTCCATTATTTGCTCATGTCTGTATCTTGTTTGTACAGATATTTTTAATGTTAAAATTGTGTGCAATTTTATGTATCACGTGGGGGAACCCATTGTGATTCAGTTTCTCTTCAGAATTTTACATTTTAATTCTAATTTGAATGAACTATTGTGTGTATTTCGACACAAACATACTTTTTGTAATGAAAATATTCTAAATATGAATAATCTCAATTATGTTGAGAATGTGATAAGTTTTGTTGAATACTAAGGCATGTTTACTTACTTGTTTAAGAACTAAAAACTTCATTTTAGTTTAATCTATTTCAAATTGACATTCTGAAGGGAGACTGAAAATTCACACTGGATTTGGAAACCCACAGTGATAGGTCTGTTTTGTCTTTATAAACGCAGTTCCTACATGTGCTCGGAACAAGGGGACAGCTTTATGCAAGGTTTTCTTGCCCCTTAGAGATGCATAGGAACAGAGCTTGTGTAATGAGAACAAATTGTGTGAATGTTGAAATAATCTGTACTACCGTACAGTACTACTCAGTGGTTTCCCAAATCAAATTTCCTTCCAGCCAGTGGATTATTCTTTAACCAAAGATTGGATCAGTATATTATCAATACATTTAGCAATTGATATAAAATTTAGATAATATTGCATTTTTCTCTTATCTGTTTTTTTTTAAACAATAATTGTTTGAATGAAACACTAAACTTTATATTTTTGTATTTATGATGCCTTAGGTGTTGAGAATGTTTTTACATTTGACTGATTCAACCAATTTCATGTTTTCAATTGTGGAAGGGAATCCATTCATCATTGAAGAAATCAATGCTTAATACATTTTCCAGCAACAAACTCATGGCAGAACCATGTTTCTTTTCATTTTTTCTTTTGGCATCAAATACTGGAAAAGAACTAACTGAAAAATAGTTTGCAATGATTTCAGTGGTTTGCTTGTTTCTTACGACATCCTAATTAGAAAGGGGCATTTATAAGGGTTTTGGAAAAAAGCCAATCTTATATAATTGCTAAGTATACTGATAACTTTCTTGGTCTATTTCAAGAAGCCAGATTACTATTTTACATGCATTTTAATATGCTAAAAGCTAAATTTACTTGAACAATCCTGCCTATTGGTATTATAATTCAGTTGACTTTTTTTGCATACTGTAAAATCTCTTATAAGGTTAGTGGACATATTTTACAACAGAGGTTTCAGTATTCATTAAGGAGATGTACCAGCTACTTTTCATACAATAAACTTCTGGTGCTTTGGGAACCATTGGTTTTGGAAAGTTGAATATATTAGACTTTGATACTACTTGTTATCTTAGCAGTTGATTAACTGCAGAGGACTAGCATATCGTGAAAACAACGATGTGCTTGGGTCAGACAAGATGGCAGGTGCTATTTTGTGTTCTTTTTGTTATATTTTCAAACTGCAGTTCAAAGACCTAGATGATATTACTTGAAAATGATAAAATGAAGATGACTGCAATGGCAAGAGTTCAATAAGACACTTGAAGAAAAAAAAATGAATGTTGAGATAATTTCACTATAAACCTGAGGCTTGATTATTGAGTTTTGCAGTTGAAGGGCTATATTCTTGCATAACCAAGAGTATTTGATTTTTAAGTGCTCTTTTGTGTTAGAAGCAAATGTGTGAGTATAACTTTTGAGTGTCAGAAATTGCTTTTGGACTGCTTGATTAAGGTATTTCCAGAACACTAGAATTTAGAAACAGTGACTGGACTTCGTGTGTCAGTATTGTAGAAAGAAAAAATGATTTTTGTGAGTGATAATTGTTGGTTCCATGTGAATGTGTGTTTGTTTCATTGCTATCAAGAGGACCGTTGAGCATAAAAGGTGTTAGGTTGAGTTATTATTAGTTTTATACAAATGCATGAAAGTTCTTCAGTATCAGAAATTACATGCTTAACGTGAACATCAAGAACACACACTATTTGTTGGTGACCACTGTATTCCATCTTTTTGTGAGTTAAAGCTTGAAGAAACTTCAGCCACTCAGAGTTTTAAGAGGCAATAAGTGTATAATTTTATATTTAGTTTATAAGTAAGTTTAGTGCACATCCTTTTAAGTTCTCTTCAAATGAAGTTGTAATAAAATATATAGTTACATATGAGATAATTTTAATGCAAAAAAAATTATAAAAATTGTTAATAGCAATATTTTGAGTAAGTTTTCTTTTATGTGAAGATCATAGTGCACATATTGGCCAACTTATGGATCAAAAGAACAACTTGGATAATATCTTAAACAACAAAATTTATGTGTACTTGCTTGTTGGGAATGTACCACAGAATATTGAATGTATCGTATGTAGCAAATATCTTAAATGATTTTGTAAATTTCAGTTTGTATATACATAGAGAGAATGTTATTGTACCATTTCATTTAAATATGCTTTGTTCTTTTGTATATTTGTTTTCATTGATAAGTTTGACAAAACTTCAAATCGATAAGTATACATTTACATGCAGGGTTAAATTGGATTTTTGGATATTCCTAAAGCAAACTTCTACATTTTAATACTTAGTATCTCACAGTTCATGTTAATTCATTATTGGGACAAGTTTAAAATAATTTGATGGTGTGTTTGTTGTCAGGGAAACTTAATTATTTTTCCTTCCCCCTCTCAGGATTTTAAAAATGCATATCATGCATGAAAACCTCCCAGATTGTTCACAATAAGTACAGTAATAGAATGTGCAGCTTTGTGATCTAGAAAAAAAAAAAGTGACTGATCAGCCTCGAGTTCTTGGCTGTGGGAAGTTTTTTTATTCTTAAAAGATCTTCTATTCATGTGATGTATGATTGCTGTACAAGATTTTTTTTATAAATGTTTTCAAAATGAAATTTTCTTCTTGTCTTTTGTTCCCTGAAAATTTAATAAAAAAATATATAGAAAATAAAATATTTTAGAAAGGTGTGGGTTCACAAAACATTCTTATAAAAAAATTTTTACTAGATGTCAGACATTATTTACATGAATAATCACCTGTTAGTTTAAATAAACTTATAAATTATATATAGAATATTTGTCATACAAATGAAATCCATTACCTACATTTATATCAATCAATATGCCGCCTTATATCCATGGATGAAAAATTTAAGTACTAGGGACACCTAAAAATTGACTTTCAGAATTTGTGCACTCCCCCCACCCCCCTCACACACAACAGAACAGGCTGTAGAGCCAAAACTTGGTTCTATGCTTTAGATAAGCAGTATTTCTTGAGTTATAATTGTTTTAGGTGTCATCACAACCAAAGCATATATACACTTGAACCAACATACAATTCACAAACAAGCACTTTTTATATAACTAGTTAATAAGATGTATTTCTAATTTTACATTCAGACTGTAAGCATATACCAAACACTCAATTACGAGATGTGGCATTTTCACAAATATAAAATAAAAGAAAAAAAGGTCAAACCTCGAATTAAGATTCTCTCAATTTGAGCACATTTTGTTATAAATATCTGTACTTATGGGGGAAAATGTGATGGTATCTGAAAATGGAGACTCACTAGAATGAAGAATCACTAGACAATGAAAGAATAAATACTAAGTTTAACAGAATTCCATGAGGTAGAATACTCAGCAAGCTACTAGATGTAGCCTCAGAATAGCCTTTAAACACACCATTGCGCTGCTTAAACATACTTGACTATCGCATTGTTATTCTATGGATAATGGAATCCCAAGAACTGCACAACATGGATCAGTGTTCTGATAAATATGCCCCCAGTGTTTTTCCAAAATGGAGATTAGAACATTACATAAAGATGAGCACTTGGCACTGACAAACTTCATCTGGCAAGTGTATGTCAATGTCAAAGAGATTGTCAATACTATTCACGTTCTCACAACAGATACCAGATCCAATAATTTTCAAAAAATGCAAAATCTTAAAAAATGAAAAAAAATATCCAGTCATCTTGAATTACACACTTAAATACTGCAATGACTACTAATTTCCTCTTCAGATTTTTTGATATAAATCAATTTAAATTCTCAGATTATATTTTTTTTTAGAAATGAGCCAGAAGACAATCAAATCAACACTTCAAAATAAGCCGAATACCACAAGTGAAACAAATAGGTGATAAAAAGATAATTTTTATTTTCATTGTATTTCTTGGCCAGTACGATGTGTTCTTCCAAGCACTATTTCATGATTATTCATCAAAACCTGTAAGCCTACCTGTGTAAATTAATACTTTCCAACACAAAATCTTCTTTCAAATATTTCAAGTATTGGAAACTAATTTGCAAAACTTACAACATACTAAACTCCAATATCACAATACTCGACAGGTTATCTTAGCATTTGGATTCAGAAATCAGGAATGGGGAGCACTAAAGCAGTTGGAAAGCATTAAGATCTGTACAATTTATATTAATTATTGTCAAAACACATTGTTACATGTGAGTATTATGCTAATGTCAGGCTGCCCGGCAGCCTCCTCCTCCTCCTCTTCTTCTTCTTCTTCTTTGCTGCCATATAGTATCGTCACAAAGCACTGAAAAATACTAGTGTTTGAGCTATTTTGCTTTCTTCATCTTGTTTTACAAGGCTTTGAAAAACGGTTCAGGTATTCTTCTCTGGCAGCCAATTAGGGCAGAAATGGTAGTTGGTGAACGTTTGTCAAGCTGCAAGCCAAAACATAGAGAAATCCGAAGAAAAGATTCAGTTTTGCAGTCTGGCGTGGCACTTTTTGAATGGTCTGTGGGCATCGAAAACGTTTTTCAATACGAAAAGCTTCTGGCAGTGTTATGAGTGGTAAGAGAAACCAAACAGAATGTCTGAGACCGAACACCACAAACAAAATGTATGGAGTAAATAACAGGAAAGCATAAAGAACACGTGAGGCTGTGTGACCAACAAGAATAGCTAATGTCACAATTCCTTTTTGTCGATCAACTTCAAGATCTCTTGTATTGTTGCTGTGGAGAATAGCCTCAGTATTGAGAGCAAGAGGAATTGCATAATAAATAGTTGCCCATTCAACATAACCAGTTTGTGCCATGAAAGCAAACAAAACAGAAATTGGTCCAAATATAATAAGAATCAACACATCACCTAACGCAATATATTTTAAGCCTATACCTCCGGTATACAAGAATGAACTAGACAGACCTCCGAAGTACACCAGAGCTAAATGTTCCATTTTAGCTGGAGATATGGCAACAAGAAGAATAAATCCCACACACCCAGCTGCATACAACATTGCACCAAGGGTGACAACTTCATCTTTAGAGAGAATATGATCAACCAACGTACGGTCTTCACTCAACCTTCCATCAATACCTTTTGTATAGTCAAAATACGTATTGACCAAATTTCCTGCCCCATGCACTGATACAACCGTAAATGATGTAAGAATAACAGTAAGCCAATTAAAGTCACTATGACCATACTTGTAGGCAATTGCACACCCAAGAAGTGTTGGCATAAGAGAAGCACTCAGTGACCAAGGTCGTAAAGCTAACACATATGAAGACAATTTCATTAACGGTGGCTTGCTCGCATCTGATGATCCTCGCACATTATTTGCTTCTCCGTTTCCCATTTCAAAAAACCTCTGTAAAAAAAGAATATCACACGCCTAAATTAACGTCCTTTGACAATTATTAAGTCCAAAATCAGATAACATAAATGTTCTAAAGTATACAGTGTAAAATCATATTTAAATTACAAAGTAACAACTTTGTAATTTACCTGAAAACGCTTTGAAAACGATTTGATAATAAAGATACAGTCCACCAGAGAGGTTAGAATTTCATCGCCGAAATATATCTCCAATAATTTCGAAGGGTTCAACTAATAAACTAGACTTTTCTTGAGATAATCAGTTGTGGAGGTATAAAAGTAACAATTACATGTTCCGACAATCCATGCCTTTAAAACACATTTTTCATTGCAACGTCTATTTGTGTTTGCGCGAAACGCTGGTGACGTGTTTCTTCACCAACAAATGACGGTCTGTATTCATGTTAGTCAAAATATTAACTCGAACTTCAGAATAACTCATATTCTTATTTAAAATATCGGTTATTCATATATCATTTTGTTCCTTAATAATAGCACGGGTTTATAAACGACTGATTACAATAAAGCCAGAAATTCACTCTTGGAGAGATCCGAAAGATCTCTCTGGCCTGTTCTAGATTCGTCGCCATTTTCCAGACTTCCAGAAAATACATTGTAGAAGTCGCACAAGTGTAGAGTGCTAGGCTAGCGCAGTTGAAGATTGTCGAGGAAGTGAAGAACTTGTTTATACATTGTGCCAACGATTTTTTAACGTTTATTACTCATAAGAGTAAATTTGTCGTTAATATAATCATTAGAATATGTCTCTCTTTGGTTCGCTCATGGGCGATTTTGAAGAAGACCCTTTCTTTGGGTAAGTCGCTGATTTATCGAGAATGCAATTTTATTTGTTAAACAAAAGAAAGGAATGCAAATTCGTAGCAAACAGTTTAATCGCAACTTAATTTATGAGTGTTTGTATTTTGGGCACGCACGATATTGACAGTTATTTGAATGGTCTTTCAACTTTTGACACTTACAAATATTGCACAATGTGCTTGACTTGGTCGTAATGAATGAATTATTAACAGTGTAAGATTTGAAAACCCGATGTTGTATTGTTTGTAATTGCATTATTGATTTCCGATTATTGAATTAGAATTGTAGAATTTCCTAGAGTAATGATAATATAACTAAAAGTTCATCATGGAAAATTTTTCGGATTATTTTGGGTAAATTAGTTATTACTTCTTAATAATATTTCTTAATAATAATCCAACATAATATGAATTGCTGTATGTATTTTGAAAATATATATCTGTACAACAAATTTTATTTTCAGGTAGTGTCCTCTCAGAATATATTTTAGTACAAAGTTCGTAAGAAGTGATTTGTTGTGGCCAATGTACATGTAATAAATATATTGAATATTTTTTTATGACAATAGTTTAGGTAATGGGAAAGTTTCACTCGGTTCATTAGTGTGTCAGTGATCATTTTTGTGCAAATGATTCCTATTAGACATTCACCACATAGTGTAAAAGCCCATTCATGTGTTGGAGAAATTGAGGTCAGTGAACAGGTGTACCAATTTGTCCTAAAAAGGCGGTGAAATGTTGAGTTCAAATGTGGGTCAAAACGTTTGACATTGTCTTTGGGGATCAATTAATTCAATGATTAGTTGTTTCTCCTATTGCTGATAGTGAATAAATTAAGTTTTCTACTGGAAGTTTGAAATTGCTGAGTAAATGGAACAAACATGTCTTTCTTAAAACTCATTTTAATTTTATTTTAACAAGATTCCAAAGTCTCTTAGTAATAATACATAACTTAAGTAATTATACATTATGTAAGTAATGAAACTAATTTGTATATTTGAACATGAATTTTATTGGTTTAAATTATTCCTTTGTTTTTTTTTAGTTATAATTTACTTGACAAAGATCAAATTTAATTAGATCTGCTGAAAGTTTCATGTGTTGCGGTATGATTTAAAAAAATACACTGTATATGAACTATTTAATGAGATGAGGGTGCTATTGCAGTCGACAATAATGTCTTGGTTTGTGAAATTGTATTTTGTTAAATATTGTTGGAATTTGTTGCATGGAGACTGCTAACTGCTATGCCCTGAATTAGCCACATACTCTGCAGGAGAATGGTCACTTACGATCAGTGTCTGGGGAGAACACCTCATTTAATTTACATAGGTCAATCCTCATAATTCAAGAGTAAGCATTTCATGATGGATACTGATGTAGATGTGTCAAGGTGAATTTATCGAAGTGTTGTGATTTCATCTCAAGTTATTTCTCTTATATTGTAGTATAATTTTTAAAGCCCTTAAAGATTGTTCTTGGACTATAAAAACATGGGGTCATTTTATGTAAAAATAGGTTTCAGCTTTCTTCAATGAATTGAATTGAATAGTTTTTCAAGTTGATTTTTCATTTGCATGATCAGAGGCAGATCCAAATTTTGATGGAAGAATGGGTTGTGAAACTTATAGAAGCAGTAAATTAGTTCCAGATTGTTCAAAAATGTAAAACTTTTTAAAATACTGGTACAGTGTTTCTTTTTTAACTTGGCATGCCCTTGGACATTCTTTGGCAGTTATCCAAGCTGACACCTTCAGTTTATCTCGGTATGTAGTGAGTCAGGTCTGACAAAATTTAAAATTAGTTCTGAATGGATTGTACACAGTTTCAATTAGGTAGATTATTCAGAAAGTTGGCTAAGCTTTTCTTTACTTTATTTCATGGACAAGTGCCCAATTTTGAAACACAAATCATTAAAAGGCAGCTAGTGACATGCAGTATTATTTTGTCAAAAAATGTTTTTTATTTCATTTTATTTTCAAAATAGTTTTTGGGCCTAATTGCGAGTTGCTGTGCAACAATTGGAGGGAGGAAAAAAAGGGATGGGGGAACCTTGAAAGAAAAAGAAGAAAATCAGCTTTTGCAGTTTCATCCAATAGGGAGCTTATATGTTGCTATAGTGATGTCACTCTGGGGACGTTCTAGCTCCCGTTTGGATGAAACTCTGAACAGCTGACGTATGTCAAGGGCATAGTTAAATAAATCCTAGTGTTAAGGAAACTTGTAGTAAAGCTACTGAGGAAGTAGTGTTTATAAAAAAAGAAATAATACTCTGAAGAGAGATTTTGGGATCATAGATATGTTTTAAGGAGTTTTGACAAATGATGTTAAATAAGACTTGTAAAATTGAAACAAGCTTACTTGAATTTAATCTTTGACTTCTAGAATTAATTTAAAGTAAGTAGGAAATTTGTTTACAAAATTGTGAAAATGATTCTGGCGGTTGCATCAGTATTGAGTAATACAAATTGTTTTTGTAACAGTAATCTTTGTTGCATTGTAGAAATGCTTAATTTTTTACTTTTTGTATTTATTGAATTGGCATGTTAAAAAATGTTATTTTAGAAGAAATTTTGCAAGTTTTTGCAAGTAGTTAAAGAAACCTGGCAATGGCTAATGATGTCTTAGAGAAGGGTAGCAGTTTGTGAATTTTATAATAAATCAATGTTAAGAATTTTGATAAGAGGTTTCAGAAAAAAAATTGTTTGCTTGTATTATATCTAATAATTTCTTAGTGAAGTGAAAACATAAAGAAATGTTTTGAACCATTTCAAAATATGTTTGCAATTGTTTCAGGGCTCACATGCGCACAATGCGCCAGATGAACAACATGATGAACTCGATGTTTGCTGATCCTTTTGGGTTCATGGACAGTATGGGGCCTCCTGCACTGACAGGCCCACACTCTCGGGCTTTGGCTCCAATGGGTGGACGACGCCCAGGAGGTGACCTCATGCCCTTTGGTTTCATGAACATGAATCGTCTTTTCCCAGATTTTGTGAGTGCTCATGTTTATTTGCACATGTTTAATGAATTAATAGTAATAGTTAAGAGTTATAGGCAGTATGCAATTGTTAGTGATTGATAGGAATATTTCTAGCAATTGATTATTACTTATCAGTATATTCTTTAAAGTTTTTTTTGTCTCTTTAAGTTTCTCTATCCTTTTGTCTTGTGCCCCATTCATCTTCTTTTCATGTTAAGTTTGTTACTTGTTTGTTTTGTTCGTGCTGTGTCTGGTTTCTTCTTCCCTGCCTCATAATTTTGATTGTTATTTCTAACATGTCCTCTAATGAGTTTGTTCTTCTTGCAACATGTCTAAAGAATGACAACACTGGTCAATATAATTTTTGGTTCATGAGTACCCATTAACTTAAGGTTTACTTAATGCAGGTTTTTTCTAGTTATCACATATGTATTCTAAATTTTTCCATCACTCTCAGAATTTTTGTAATTTTAAATTTTTTAAAATATTTGTGAACATTCTTTGTCCATTTGGCCATCGTCAATTGAAATCTCTTACAGCATAGAAAATATAATGGGACAAAATAAGCTAACTCAAATGGAAGCATTGCCAGTTGTGTAGGTTCAGGCATGTGTAGACATGTACAAACGTGATTTAGAGTAACACATTTATCAGAACTATGCCAGTTGTAAGATAGTTCTTTACCAGTGAACACGTCAATGTGAGTGCTTTGTGTGCCTGAATTATCATGTATTTTATACAGTAAAACCCCTCTTTTACACTTTTCAGGGGACCGATGAAAAAAAGTGTAAAATGCAGTAAAGTTGAAAAACGATAGGCTTCTTTCATTATTTACTGCAATGGTTACTCTGTTTCCACTTTCTCACCCTTCATAGGAAGAGAAAGTAATAGCATATGCCAGAATCAGCGATTTTCGTCAGAAAATCTCCTATTGACCTGCCCTGATTATGAAAAAGTGGATAAATCATATTCCTATATATACTTCCTCTAACACTTGGTGTAGCCTGAATCCCTGTTTTATGGATCTTTGAAACTGCAAAATGAATTGACGGCTGTTTTTCCGGCTGAAAACAACTGTGTGCTCGTCTGTGGTCAATGCGAGTGCCTAAACCGCCTGCCGATTTTTTCCAAAATTGATATTCCTCAATTGATCTGAACGAACGTCAGGTTTTTGTGAGTTTGTTACATACTTATGTAGTAGTTTACTACGTATTAGAACAGGATTTATCCACTTTTTCTGTAAATCGCTGGTTTTTGCTGCAGCATTACATAACTTTCTCAGCACTAGGTATAAAACATACGTATACAAGAAAGTAAAATAATATTTAAAAAAATATGTAAAAGACGGGAAGCACTCTTCATATGAAGTTGTAAATTGCAGGAAGAGAATGCAGTGTAAATATAGGCTTTTCAATGGGACCAACGAAAAATAAAGAAAAGGCAGGAAAACGTAAAATGTGGGAATGTAAAAATGGGGTATTACTGTATTTACAAATTTATTTACTTACTTTAATTAGTTGTTAGTTTCAAAATGCCTAGATTTTGTTTAAATCATCCTAACAATTTTAGTTATGTATGTGGTAAAGTGACACTCAAGTTTCACATGCGAAACTTGACTCCATTAGTAAAAGTGTTATGGACTTTATTCTTAAAGTGAGGGACCAGACAAGGTCCGCAGCCCCACATATCTGTTGTTCATCGTGTTCTAGGCTTCGTACTGCATGGAAAAGTGGCATCCACCTTATTCCATTTGCTATGATTTAGAGGAAACCCAAAGATCTCTCCTCTAACTGCTATTTCTGCCTAACAGACATAAGGAATAATGTCAAAATTAAAATGTACAGTGGTGTACCCTAACTTGCAATCTGCAATGAGACTGAAGAATTTCCCATTCTAAAGCCTCCATAGCATGTGACATTAGATGAAGAGAGTTCAGATTCGACTAGAAGGAAAGAAAAGAAATTTCTTCATTCATTTCTTCATTCAAACATTTTTCTGGTGATCTATTTTGAATGAAGCTGTTCACCTGACCCCTGTTTATTGACTGTAGGAGATCTTAGAGATCTAACACGTAATTTAAAGGTATCTAAAAACCAGTCCGAAATGCCTCTGTTACATGTAAAATTAGGATTAATGAATTTCATCAAAGTTATGGGCAATACTCCTGGTTTTTTGTACTTAAAACAGAAGTTTCTTAAAATTAGTGATGCAAAAACTAGAGAAGGAATATTTGTGGATCCTCAAATACGATCATTTGTGCATGGCGCAAAGGTTGGGGATTTATTGAATCCACTGGAGAAAGCAATGTGGCATGCATTCAAAAAAAGTTTAATTTTTTGAGAAATGGAAAAAACTTCTTACACATCTACATTTTTAATGTGGATTTTCTAAAAAATGCAGTTCCTGCACATGTACCTAGATCTCTGGAAAGTCTTAGCTCAGTGAGTGATGAGCACAGGGGAGTACTTTCATCAGTAGATTTTTGCTATGGAAAAGAGATATCAAGGCAAATGGAATTCTACTATACTGGCTGATTATTGTTGAAGGAGGATACTATACATGTGAAATGTTGCAGAAAATCGTCATTTATCACTTTCTTGATAAGCCAGAATGTTTGAATATTGTGTGGTTAAGAATGCAAAATATTAAAGTAATTGAAATTATAAATGTCTGCTTGCCTCTCTGAAACCTCGCGTGATGGGGGAAAATGGATCATGTTTCAATTCAGGAGAATAAATACTATCAGAATCACATATTTTTCTTTCCGAGACAAAAAAGTTAATGTTTTGTTCCCTAGTGTGTGTGGTAGCTCTGCTTCCTAAAGAACAACCAGGCTTTGCCTTTTCCCTAATAAAAAAAAATTGTTCTGTTTACTTCATGAATTTTCAAGAATAACAGTTAGTTGAGTAGGGTTATTGCAAGAAATAACTTCCAAAATTGCTTTGACAGTGATACCTAAAAAGTTGCTGTTGGGTATAAAAATGAGATTCACCAAGTTTCTGGGTGATCAGGTATCGTTAATATCTTTGTCACCAGTCACAGCCATAATAATTTGCAATTTTTCTCAAAAATGTTGTTTTATTTCAATAACATGAGGACGATTTGCTGTGGTATTTTTTAGTTTTGTTGAGAATATTTCAATCTCCAATTTTTATCCTTTTAACTTGTTTGATAAATGTATAGATTGATGTGGGATTTTTGTAAACTGGATATGAATATTTGCATTACCTGGTAGTTATAAAAATTGACTATTTTTGTTAGTTAGCATCCAATAGTTGAAGTAAGATTCTTTATAATTGAATGTTTTCAAGCAGGTGGATGAAAAATATTTACCTACAATTCAATTACTATCTATTATAATTAAATGATTAATTTAACGTAATCAACGTAATTATTACAAAAACAACTTTCAGAAATAGCAATTAGTTATATCAGAGGAGTATTTTGTGTGTAAATTTTCATAAAGATGCAGTAGGTAGATAGGTCAAATTCGCAAGATTTTGTCTAATTTTACCCAGAAATTTTGTTTTTGTTGTAAATGTTTTCATATTGACTTTTCATTTTGTATTTCTTTATACCTTGTCAATCGCTTACAGAAGTTGATTTTGAGTTACTCCAAAGAATCTAAAAAATATTGCTATCAAAATGAAAATGACTTATGTTAATTACTTTATTCCCCCAGGATCAGCTGGGCAATGATCCAAATTGTCATTCGTTCAGCAGCAGCACAGTTATGACCATGACAAGTGGACCCGATGGCAGACCTCAGGTAAGAGGCTTTGGAAGACATGATATTCAGATTTAATTAAAAAAAATTGAATAAGAGGATGAACCTTCGTTTACAATCTTATAAAGGCTTATGTTTTGTTCGGGTTCAAGACAGGCTCATGCTAGTAACTGAATTGTGCCTTTGGTCATGCACACATCATGGCAATATATACATTTCATAGGCAACACGGGTTGATGGATGCTGGCGTAACTTGTCACTTGATTGGCCCAGTGCATGTCGTCGCCTTTCAACTTTCAACTTGTCTCCTACGATGCATGTTTGTCATCTCAAGTGGCATGAAAGTACTGGTTACATCAGAAAAAATTTTTGGTCTAGTAGTTTTAATTGTAGAAGAAACCAAAAACAAAAAAATTGCACAATTCTAAATAATGTTGAAAAGAAAAATCAAGATTAACAAAATGTGTTGAGACTTCTAGAAATAAAATGTTTATTTTTTGTTGTGTTTTTTGATGAAACAGATGAAAAAAGAATCAATTGATTAATGGTCTAATGACAGACTTCTACACACTCCAATTTTTCTGGAAATATTTTCAAAGATAGGTTTCTTCTTTTGCTACAAGCACTTAATTTGACAATACTGTACCCAGTAATGGTGACCATTTGGTACAGATAAGAAACATTGTGGATCGTATTAGAAACAATTTCAAAACTCTTTTATCCCTCCCAGAATTTATGTATTGATGAAAGACTCCTGCTCTACAAAGGCAAATTGAGCTTCAAACAATATATTCCATCTAAGAGAGAGTAGGTTTCGCATTAAACTTTTGTGTTGTGATTGCTTGTCTGGAGTGGATGTTATAGTATTTACCACCATTTCCATAGATAATGATGATTACATACTTGGAGTTACTGTGAACATGGTTGCAACCGTTTCAACTGAATGTAAACATGGGACACAGCATTTTCATTGGCAGTTTGTATTAATGTTCAACACTTTTCAATTGGCTGCATTTACATTCTATTAATACTTGCTGTTAGAAAAAAATGAAAATGTATGCTTATTAAAACATCACATACGATCAATAAGCTATTGACATACATTATAAGAGCACAAATGTCTAAATGACCATTTCTTAGAAACTTGCTCCTACCCCAAACTGTATGGACTGTAATTATTTAGGAGTCATATTTGATCCATATCTAAAATTTGGCAAATATAAAGCATGTTTTCGAAAACATCAAAAGAAATTTTGGTTGCACAAAATCTTATTTCAATAAAAATGTAATTTTGTTGTATAGTCTGTCATAGAATCTGTATTGTGATAAGGGGTAAATGTATGGGGAGAGATCATATAATAACCTTGTAATTTTCTGAAGTAGAATACTGAAAAATTTTCGAGATAATGTGCTGACTATAAATCAGCTTATGAAAGAAGGCAAAACTTGCCCACCAATTGGTTTCTATAACAATAATTTAGTGAACCATTTTAACCCAATAAGTTCCAAGATTGCGCTAATGCAACATTTAATAATACTTTTTAGATAAAATGATTTGGTGTAAATTTGTTTTGTATTACTACTGCACTAGTAAGAAATGTTATTTGATCAATTTTTGCTCTTTTCATATCTGAGTGTAAATTTTGAAACTGGGGTAATGTAATGGATTGTGTTAATAGTATTGAATTTTTAATTTAAATATTACACGATGCATTTTTTAAAAAATTATATATTACTTGACAAACTTGTTTAAGCCTTCTATTAGAGTTTTAGAATATTTATTATGGAGGTAAGTCCTTACCTAATCTTATTATTGATAATTTACAATAATATTGCATTTACACATCTTCGGGAATAGTGAATATATGGTCTTAACATGAGAGAACAATTTCAATTCAAATGTAAGCGTTGAGGAATAGACCATTTCATATTTCTGTTTCTAATATAATAATCTCATCTTAGAAATATACTGTGAAATATAGAGTCTTAGTAAATGGAGTAATGTCATCTGTAACTACTCAGTATACATTTAGCTTTCTGTAAAGTTTCACAACACACATTTACTGTTGAAACAATAATTTTGATATGTATATTTGGTAAGTAAAATTTTGATGTAATTTGTAAAAATGAATATATACAATGCTTCAAGAGTAATTATTTATCTTTTTTAAAAATTCTTATTTTGGGAATGATGAATACAAAGATCTCTATCAACTGCTGAACTTATTTTAATATTGGAAGATGATGATGAGCTTATCACTGCAAATATAATTGATGCTGTGTACATTACTCCTAATATTAATTATTTATTTATGGATATATTCTGTTCATTTTCAAAGTAAACGTAGGTATGTGTATTTATAGAATATGTCCAGGCGCAAATAATATACAAACCAAGGAGTCAAACAAGGGTGACCGATGTCCCCGACCCTTTTTAATATATATCGATCATATTATTCAAGAATGGCAAAGTAAACTAACCACACATTTTAAAATACAATTTTAAACACTACTCTATTTGCAGATGACCAGGCCATTTTTAGTACTATAGAAGACGACCTACAGAGAGCTGCCCATTACCTCGAGTTAACAGGGAAAAATTATAACTTGAAGATATCAACCTCTAAAACGAAAACAATTGCATTCCAGGGGAAAAACCATATCAGATGTAAAGTAGTGATAAACGAAAAAAGTATTGAACAAGTAAACAACATTAATTATTTAGAATTTAACATCTCATACTGCGACAAAAAAGATGTAAACATAAAGATCCAAAAATTCCAGAAATTATGTGGTACTATACACAGAGCACTAAGAGAAAAGACCAGACAAGACACCTAACTAAAATTTTACAAAACCATGGCAGTCCCAATGCTAACTTATGGATGCGAAAACTGGACAGTCAATAGGTCAGACAGAAGAAAGATCGAAGCGGCAGAAATGAGATTCCTGAGACCATTAGCAGGATATACCCTACTAGATCATAAGAGAAATGAAGACATCAGAGGTGAACTACAGATCTCTAGCATACTGGAGAAGATCGACTCAACGAGGAAGAATTGGCTCTGGAAGAACACCTAACCAGAATGCCATAAGAACGGCTTCCCAAGACTATCCTAACAAAGGGGATACATACGACTATACAAACCAAAGGGGAAACAATCCAGAGGCAGACCCCACACAAGATGGAAAGAGACTTTTGAGAGCGGAACGGACCACTAGGCCCAAACCTTGTTGTTGCTGCTGCCGCTGATGATGGATGATGATGATGATGATGATGATGATGGTGATCCAGGCGCAAATTATTTAATATAGAGGCAACTGGACAATCTGTTGTGGCTTGCAGCGCTAACATTATTAATTAATTTTGACATATCACAATGTTTCAGAGCACAATAATTAATACAATTGGTAAAAATGAGGAACAGAGTCCACATATCAATGAAGTCCATGTCCTCGTTGAAGAGACAATCATAAGCTCTTTTGAACATTCGAGGACTAGGTGCTGTCACCACATTCTGTGGTAGTATGTTGCAGGAGTCGACACTTGGTTACCTCTCAAGTTCTTGTACTGCATTAGATTCAGCCTAGATTTTACAAGGGTCATACTATGACCTCATAATTTTATATTTTCAGAGCATTGAAAATGCTACTTAGAACGGAGATATAATGCCCCTACAAGATCTTAAATATTTCAAACATGTCGCTGTGTTGTCTCCCAGCATCAAGCCTGAGTCTTGTCAGACGTTGATTATAAGCTGTTTGTGAGGTCTGTAGGGATACACATGGCTCTCCTTTGTTTGCTTTCTAGCTGATTTATGTCTTTGAGAAAGTAAGGATTCCAAATCATGGTGCCAAACTCAACTATCCGGAGAATGTGGGTTCTATAGAACCATGTTCGTGCAGTGGTATTCCTTCAGTTTTCAAAGTAAAGTGTAGTATCTTGTCTGCCAGAATCCGCTCAATGAGCTCACATATTGAGCTGGTCGAGCCAATGGACTTGTAATTAGCAGAGTCTAGCAACAACATTTCTGGAGTCAAGGGAGTCTTGGTAAATTTTACATAGAGCTGGAGCAAGTTCTAGTGCACATTCATTCAGTACAAGAGGAGGGATACCATATGGACCAGCTGAAGTGTTAGGATCTAGTAATATGAGGATGTTGTAAACATCTTCAACATGTAACTCAATATCTTCCAGGGTTTCCTGAGGAGGAGGTTAGGATATAGATGGGAGAGAATAGTTTGGTTCCAATGTGTAGGAGTTTTGAAAACTTTTTGCAAAGACCTCAGCAACATCACTAGGATCTGAAGCAATTTCCCCATCCTCTTTCTGGAAGGTACGAGGGATAGAAACTTTGGAACAAATCAGTTAGTGGATGTACGTGTACAGTTGCTTGCCCTTGGCCGTGGAAATATTTTGTTCATAATTTCTCCTGCGAGCACGAATCTCATTTCATATTGTTGAGTAACCCTTTGCATTTCCTCTTTTGTGATTGACAATTGGTGTATTTAAATTTAGTCCATAGTCGTCTCTTTGTGTGAATCAGTCTGTGTATCCTTTTAGTAATTTATTGTTTATTTTTGTTCGGAACTTCGTTTTGAATAGGTTAGTGAGAATCTAAGTTGTTGATAATTCCTGATGTAAGTATCATCCAATTACTTTCCAGTTTCTCGACATGTTCTAAGGTGAGAAGGAGCTGTCGAAGGTCCCTCTTAACATCCTTGAAATTTGCTTGCCAGTATACCTTGCGATTCTGGTTAGAGGAATCCGCATCACGAAATTCGATGTGCATATCAATGCATTGAACGGCATGATCACTATTACCAACAGGAGTTTAAAGCTGATCTCATTTGTGATAATTAGATCCTGTATTGCTGATCTGTCTGTCCCAAATCCTAGTTCCACCAGTTACCAGCTGAGAGAAACAAGAATCTTCGTGTACCTGAAGAAACTCTTTTTACAAGTGAGATGTGATCTAAGCTGGGCTGGGCCCAGTGAAGTGACGAAAATTGAAGTTTCCTATGGATAAGGTCTTCTAAAT